TAGGAGTGTGTTTAGCGGATAAGAAGATAAAAATCTCCCATCTGCCGTCTTTGCTTTCTCTCCTGATTGTATGTATATTTGATCTGTATACCATGTCGCGTAAGTGCTTGGATCGTCGAACACCGAGGTTCCTCCACTGTCGATGTTTAGCCAATAGTCATCTGAAACACGATTTAAATATGATAAACTAATTTTTAGTAAAAATTTATATATTTTATTATGTGATTTTAAAAAAAAAAATTTATGAAAATTGAATACGATAGGTTGTGATTGTTGTAATTCTCGATTTAATTTACCATAATTAACTGTAAGAACTAAAATTTAAGTATGGATTAAATCAAAATTAAATTAAAAGTGAGCCCAAAATTTTCATTAATGACTTACAGTATGGTCTGGCAAGGGCGGCAAAATTAGATGCAGCAAACAGTGATACCACCAAGATCAATGCTGACTTCCATTTCGCCATTAAGAAGAAGAAGAAGAAGAAGGGAGAGAATTTTAAGAGAGATTTATTTAATTAGTTTGGTAATATGCAAACTGGTCATATTTATAATATTGTTGAAGCTCAAAACGGCAGCATCCTGGAATATTATAAGGATAAGGAAAGAGACAACAAATAATGGAATATAATATATGTATATATATACATATACATATATGTGTGTATTAGAAGTAATTAGTAGAGCTAATTGATATTTCCAAGGATAGATAAACTTAATTATATTCAAATCCTCAAATAACAAGGACAATTATCAGGGAAAGTTGAACGTGTATGGTAATTAATTAAGAAAGTAATAGTCTCAAAAATTTATAATTATGTGAAATTACAAAAATTTAATCATCAGGTGTATATAAATTACTAAAAAAAATAAAAATTTGAATTACAATAGATTTATTATGATAAAATTAATTAAATTTATTAAAGTATTTTTTTATATTATCTTATTTCAATTCGAAATAAGTTAATTTTTTTAATTACAATTAGTTATACTTTCATATAAATTCATCCATTTATTTTATCCAGACACAGTTACATGTATATATATATATCTTGAGATGATACATGATCACACAGTGAATCCTTAATAAAGCTTTCGTTTCATTATAAAACTTTCAAGTACATAAATACCATACATAAATATACACAAACACAAACATTTATATATATATATATATATGTTTGCTTGTACAAAGAACACAAAAGTTAAATAAACCCAGATGCAACATCCTCGAATTAATCCCTTCAATGACTGAGATAAACACTGAACTGAAGCACAGTATCCACACCATCAGTTAAATGCTGATTAGTCAAATGAATCGTTTCAACGGCGGCGTACCCTCGAGCATTCTCATATTTCCCCGTCCCTCCGACCACCGCAATCAACGACTCGTGCGCCGCCGTCCGGTGAACCCCAAAGAAACTCAGTGTATCCTCTTCCCCATGATCTCCGTTATGAAACAGAGCAGTGAAAGCCATAGTATGGCTGCTACCATCAAGCGAGCTCGCCAAATGAAACCCTTGAGCTTTTCCGATGACGGAGGAACCCAGCTCGTGACCTTCCGTTAATTGGTCGTCAACCACCGTGATCGTCCCAAACATTAGTTTCTGAAGAGTTGATCCCGACGGAAGCTGACCGGCGGTGACGAACGGTAAAGAGTTACTGTTTCCAATCAAGTTGTTGCCGTTGTTGGTGACGACGGTGGTGGTGGATGCGCCGGTGAGTCCGGCGACGAAAGGAAGGTTGTTGTTGTTTATAATTCCCTTGTTGTTGATGACACCATTGTTGGGGGTGATGAGAGGAACGCCATTGTTGATGGGGAAGATCCCACCGTTGGTTTTGGAGAAAGGGATGCCGTTGATTTGGGTAGTGGAAATAATCCCAGCCACAATTCTTCCCGACGGAGTTGACCCGCCGAGGATGTCGTGCATGAAGAAAGTCAACTGTGGGTCAGCGTTTGTGACGGTGGGAGCAACAGATTCAACCGGCGGAGAAGGGTTGACCGAGGGGAGAGTGGGATTGCCATCATCATCTTCCGTCAGAATTCTAGCCGTGTGGGCACATGTTAGAGTGACGGCTAAGAGTAAGAGGTGTAGGAGTTTGGCCATGTCAATTTGATTAAAATTCTCAATTGGGTTTTGCTGAACTGAAATAATTCAACTTTGGGTGTGTTTATATACATACGTACATACATACATATATATATATATATGTAGATATAGAGTTTAGAGGGTGGGTTGAAGTGAGGAGGAGTTGGTGCGATCATTAGTGATGTTGGAGTTGTTATGTGAATTTTGATCTGCATGATGCGGAGTGGAGTGGCTGGTGGTATAGTATGTACATACATACATATATATATGTATGTGTGTGTGTGCATTTTAAGAAGTCGAGATAGGCCTTATATTTACAAGCCCAATTCTTTCATGCTCAAAAGGCCTAAGAAGGTTTTTAAGGGGCTTGAGTTCAGTATCACCTTCTTCAAAATGCCATCTTAGTATCACCATAATTACAAAAATACCATATCTATATATATATATATATATAAACTTTTTGAATCTTCTGTCCTTTACATTATTACTAATGGTTTTTGTGTGCTCTGTTTGGTTGCATGGTAAATCAATTGACTTAAGTTCTTTTTGATATGATGCTGCTTCCACACTGTTTTCTAAAGAATTATGATGGTGTATGGACAATCTTTTCCTAGTAAAGGAAAAAGTGGGTTATGAATTATTGAAATCTTTATTGGTAAATTGTATAATAAGTAATCAAAAATAGTATTTTAATTTACGAAATGACTAGCTAGATTATTCTTTTTAAAATATATATATATATAATAAAATTCGTATTACATATTATTTTAAATTATTTCATGTCTACATAAATTTAGTATGATATGATCGACAATAATTTTACTAATAAATTTGTTTTCTCCTCTATCGTAGATGGATTAAGTAAAATATTTGGTCCAATATTAATACTCATGAGATTACTACCTAAAAAGTCATCTTTTTAACTAATAAATGAATTCTTCAAAAGAAAATGAATGAATTGATTTATAACGAGGGTTACCTTCTAACGAGATTTCCAATAACAACATCATCATTTGTATAACATTAAAATTCCAGAATACGTATAATAGGCAGAATCTTTCTAAGAAAATAAAAAACTATTATTCACTGCTCATGGATTCCCCTTCCCCTCCTCTAAATATTGCATTACAGGTGATCTTATCAGTGACAATCGTGTTCACTGGATTACCGATTTTGTAGCTAATATTGATATTGATGATGTTAGGGATGCGGAGTTCCTTAATATTCTAAAAGGGCTCAAGATCGCTTGAGCATTACATATCAAGAAGTTCATCGTGTCTTATCATCATAAGACAAATTCTTTACACTTATCTCAACTTTTTCAACAACGTGATATTTTAAAGGCTTATCATCATATAATTGTAGATGAAACCTATAGTATGCTCAACATACATCGACAGACTCAATTTTTTTACATCATGTGATGGTAACGTTTGTGCTGACCAACTCGCCTCTTTACCCCTTCACACCCTGCCTAGTTCATCCATCTTGCAAAAACTTCTAACGACTTTTAGAGATATCTATTTTCAACTGTTGTGATATGAATTACTCCTGCTTGATGGGGTAATAGTCGTATTCTTCTTCTTGTGAAAAAAATAATAATTATTCTTAATACATATATATATATACACTATCAATATTTGATTTAAGACATAATTGACAAGGGAACTTTTGACAATAATTTAAACAAAGTGTAGGATTCAAAATGGATTATGCGCCGACCAAGACAACAAATTTTATCTAACAAAAACATACTTTAATGTTTTGAGAAAACTAAGAGGACCCTTCTCAAGTTCCTTTTCCTTTTCCTTTTCCTGGCACTTCATTATTTATTTTCCTGCCGTCCAAACATTAGTCAAAGAAATTAAAGTTAACCAAACATTTTATTTAATTTTAAAGCGACGAATTAAAAATTTTAAAAGAAGATAAAAAGAGAAGTGTATGAATAGATATTTGGAATTTTGGCTGCTTGGTCTTATGAACCATGTATGCATATAATATTTATATGGGTTTCTTTAAAACTATATGTGTGTGTGTGTGTGTGTGTGTATATATATATGTATATATAAAGTAGAAAAAAGCAGAAAATTAGAAGAAGCAGAAAGAGATGGGGATGGTTATACATGCATATATATATATATATATAGTCCCCACAATTGAAATTTTGTGAAATGGACTTGTAAACCAACTTGGTGTCATCATTAGGTTTATAGTGAGGGAGGCAAATTGTCGCATGCAAATATCAAACTAGTGAAAAGGCAATTAATTAATTCCACCAAGGATTGGCGACATGTATATGTATATATGTGTGTGTGTGTGTGTGTTGTCCATTTATCGTTGGATATTTCAATTAAGATTATATGTGTATTAATTCATGCTTATTATATGCGACCCATTGATTTAGTGTAAATTTTTTATTTAATTACTGTTTTTTTTTCATGTAGAATAAAATTATTAATTTTCATGTTTAATTGAATTATTTCTACATACATATATATAAATATATATATTGTAAAGATAGCAAGCAATTGCCCATATTCGGCAAATGGGTATGCAATCAAAATTTACCCAAAAAAAATATTACTCGTAATTAGGGTTTTCCCATGTGAGAAATTTGTATTTATTTGTTAAAATTGAATTTTTTATTTTTTATTTAAAAATTTTCATTATAAAAATAAGAAATTTTTTACTATAAATTAAAATGAAAACAAAAGCAACCACCCAATGAAGAAAAAAAAAATAGAGAAAGAAAAGGGGAAATATATATATATATATATATATATATATATATATATAGGCATGTATGTCTGTGTGTACGCATATTATGTATCAAGTGAGTGCAGACAGTTCACTGGTTGCCTTCACAAGTTGCCTTCATATTGCACTAACATTAGTGCATCAGATATATGCATATAAACATATATATATAAATCATATATATATATATATATATACACACACATACGCATGCATGAGACTCGTGTTTGGACACCATCATGGCCTTTTCTGAGTCATTTTTAGACCTTTCCTTCAATTTATCTTTCAATAATTTGATATTTGTGTTCTTTATATTGATTATCTCTATCTATTGTATATATAGGAACTTAGTAGATGTAATTAAAAGTTTTAATAAGTTATTAAATCAAATTCTGACATGATCACAGTACGTTAATTATGTGCATTAATTAAATTAATTTTGGGGAATTCCCCCCTTCCCTCCACCACCTTTCTAGGAATATATCATTACATATATATATATATATATATAAATGTATGTATGTGTGTGTATATGTTGTATTGGGAACTAGTAAACAAGTAGTCAAGATCACATTTTCAGAGTTGACAGCTTCCTTAAACTCGATTTCAAATTCAAACTTGAAGAACAAAAAGAAAGAAATTAAGAACATTGCTAGAAAAGACTATGGTACATCACTGTCTATTTCAAGAAAACTCATCATAATCATGACCCATCATGGTCAAAATTAAACACGACCCTGAGCTGATATGTGTATATATATATTATATATATATATATATTGATAGAGATTAAATTGAT